GACCAAGATTACAGATATCTGGATCCAACTGATAATCTTAACGTTAACCGATACAGATCTAGTTTTTTTAAAATCATTGTCCGTGGGATTCGAACTCTAGACCTGCCATTTGGGGTGCGACAACTCCACCACTTCACTAAGTTGTCGCACTCTTTAATTATTATTATTATATTATTAATATTAGATTATTAGTTATAGTTAATTATATTTAAAATAGAGAAAATACTATTAAATAATAGAATATAGCACAGTAATGCTATGGCTAAGTAAAATAGTACATGATACAAGTGCCTCTAAGTGTCTCTAAGTGTCTCTGCATAAGTGCTTCTAAATATCTCTATACAAGTGCCTCTAAGTGTTTCTGTATAAGTGCTTCTAAGAACCTCTGCACAAGTGCCTCTAAGTGTCTCTGTACAAGTGTCTCTAAGTGCCTCTGCATAAATATCTCCAAGTACTTTTACAATAGTGCTTCTAAATATCTCTACAACAGTATCTCCAAGTGTCTTTACAATAGTGTCTTTAAGTGTCTTTACTATAGTGTTTTTAAGTGCCTCTACTATAGTACTTCTGATTGCCTCAAGATGGTTAAGCAATTATACTATTATACTTCTATTTATAAAAAAGTTATAAAAAGGAGGATGTCTAAAGGGAGCAGAATCGTCAATCAACATGACTGTCCCTCTCCCACAGTAATATGGTTATGTAATTAGATTAGCGATCATATAGATCGCGTTTATTTTTTATTTATTTAACGTTTTTTGATTTTTTTTTTTTTACAGATCTTTTTTACGTGTTCATATGGACGTTTATATGGTGCTTTGGCGTTGTTCGTGTGCATATCTTGACGTCGTGTGGTGCATTTCAGTAAGTCTTGTTTAGTCGTTAAATTAAAGGTATTCTATTCTTTCGCTATTTAACGGTTTTTTAGTTGGTTTATTAGTTATATTCTTTAGCATTTCTTGTGTCATTTCTTCGGGGTTGTTGCGTTGTTTCTTCAGAAGTTCTTGCATCATTTCTTCAGTGATTCTTGCGTCATTTCT